TCCATCTTCTGAGCAGTAAAAAGTTCTTGTTTAGAGATCGCGAGAACCGGGTTATTGGATTTCGCAGAAAGCACATCCAGTGATAAGTGAGCCGCACTCATTTTGGGTGAGCCTCTTTCAATCAGTCAATAAGCCCCTTTCTAACCTCAATCCACCGTTCCTCCAGAACCTTGGCCGCTCTGGGACCGAATTATGTACTTTTGTCTGCAAAATTGCTCATTCTCGACGCATTTTCTGCCCACTGTGTTCAGGGGCCAGGACAGGTCACTTCTCTTTACACCTCTCACTTCTCTTGTGCTCTTTACATCTTGTCCCATGCGCTTCCCCTCCTGAGCTTGACGCGACCTCTTCAAACTGCTCTTCAGGAGAACTGAATTTCTTGACAGGCAGACAAATAACAGCAATATACTCATTGGTATACCGCGCTGCATCATGATAATGCCAATTACTAGTCTTCTGAAAAAGGATATCCGTCCCAGAAGCGAAAACGTGTCGCGTATGCGAATGCGAAACTGTCAATTCATGCGCCAGCAAGAAGTTCTGGGTCGAAAACACCCAGAAATTTCGTCATCTTCTCACAGACCGGTTATGCAACGTGATACCGCCACTGTAAACTTTTCTCTTGTACATCAATTCTGTTTGATCAAGTTCCTCCATTATCGTAATTTCTTCGTTTCCAGGTAATAGCAGAAGGACCACGCTGTTGAACTTCGAAAAGGTGCGAAAACTTCCAAAAAAAAGAGCAATGAAAACGGAATTGCCAAAGCTGGTAGGATTGAAGACGAAATCACCCTGTCCAGAATTTCGTCAAGTGCCCTGCACAGTATAAATCTTTGAGCAACTTTGGGCTGACATTTCACGTTTCGATTCGAATAGGATATCAAATTGCGGGAAAAAAATTGTTCCGACCAAGTGGTGCTAGGAGATGAAAGCTTTTCGGAATCGTAGCGCCTCAAAAAATGCCATGTGGCTTCTATATAAAAATGCCCAGATCTGTTCCTGGGTGACAAACGGAAGAGACATTGTGGTCTGCGTGAAACTGTCACGGAAACGAATCGAATTCGATAAAAGATGCAGACAAGCCACAACGACACAGGTCAGCCTTTCGACTTTTCGTTACGTTAGAGCCTCTCAAGCTACTAGTCAATTTTTTGTGCCAAAAACAGTAATAAGGGTTCTCATTCTCCTGAGTCTGAGAGAACCAGCGACAGGATGGCGTTGGTTGGAACCGCACGGGAGAAGCTGCAGGAATCTAGGACCAACGGAGCATTATTTGCCTATCGCTTGGGTGAATCTGTACTTTGAACGCACGGGCTTGCATCGGATGCTCACATCGGAGATCTGATGTTGCAAGCCAGGAAGATCAAGTACGTCATCGGACTGACCGAGACGAGGAGGCATCGCCCGCTACACGCCGATAAAGTGGAGAAGAACTGTTCCTCGGAACATGCGACAGCAGAGGCGTTGGCGGTGTGGGTGTCCTCGCCAACACAGCCATGAGCATCGATTTTTCACGAGCGAATCGGACGTTTGCGGATGGGAAGATGTGATTCACCCGGCTTTGACAATCTTCGTCTCCTATGCCCCAACTCCGCGTCGACGGGGATGAACTCGAAGCTTTCTATATGGAAATGGAGGAGTCTCATAGGGAAGACCATACCTTCTTCAAGGTCATCGTCGGTGATTTCAACGCTAAGATCGAACCAAGAAGTAAAGAACGGTTTAAGAACTTTGCATCGGAACTGACGGAATAGAGTAACAAGCAGGGTGACAGGCTGAGTTTATCATGTCGACCCATACCATCCATGGTAACTCGCAGTTCCAGAAGCCCTACTCTCTACGCTGGACATGGGAGTCTCCTGGTGGACAATTCCATAACGAGATCGACCACACGTCTTCAGCCGAAGAATTTGCCTGACCAACGTCGCTGTTAGTCCCAAGTTCTGCACGGGATCTCCCACAAAAAGCTCTTGCCTCCTTCGGGATAATTCACGATACGGTCGCAGCTTGTCAATGATTTCTCGCACCTAAGGTGCGAGGCTTCATTAACGAGGTGCGAACCATCCTCATTAAGCACAGGAATGTCGTGTTTAACTGCGAGATGACCTCGGCTGATGAAAGGTCATTAAGCTACCCGAATTGGCATTAACCCATTGAAAATTTACACTAATGTGGGTAGAGAGATTGCCAAATATTTCAGATATTCCTTTAATGACCAATTTTTTACCGACTTCTCTCCGTGGACTCATTTGGGTGAAGACTTGTCTCCGAAGGCAGTTCGGCCTCCTGAGCATGATTATCACACCCGCTCGGCCCGAAACCGCTTGGCGGCTGCGTCAAAATACCCTAATTCATCAATTTGGCTGAAAACTCGACCCAAGAGTAGTTCGACCTCCCAAGCACTATACCACATTCGTTTGGTATGAAACCGCTAACCGTTCGCTAACAGACAACGATACCACATGCCTGTTTTCACCCCAGCGCATGCAGTGCGCACTCTTGGCTCTTACATGCCGAGCGAAGTACAGGACAGAATGGGAAACATGGTCAGATCAGACAGTACTCCTATTGGCTGCTTGCAACCACAGTGCCCCACTTCGCTGAGGCACATCCTTCGCAGGGGCAGGGACTACTATTCCGCAGGAGGAATATAGACAAGCGCAGCGGACTCCGTTGTCATGTGTACCTCTTTTCCTTCATCCCCGATTCCACTGGCATCTCGAGCAGATGTTAGATTCTTTTAAGATGTATAACTACCTTTGGACATGTAGCACAAACTGACATTTTGGGAGTGCGCACTGCATGCGCCGGGGTGAAAACTTTGGGAGGCGTAGGTGGTGTAGTGACAAGTGGCGCGCTTACCACTCGCGCGGCGCCGGGTTCAAATCCCGGGTCGACTCCCGCCCAGGCCAACCAAGCCTTCTACCCTCCGGGGACGGTAAATTGGTACCAGATTCGTCTGGGAGGATAAAACACTGACTTGTACATCGGCTGGCCACCGCAAGTCATTGTATAGGCCACATCGCATTCAATAAGCCACTACGATTCTGAATGGAAGTAGAATGCGTGCCGCATCCCACAAAGGGATTGATCAACGGCGAAGACTTTATCCTTTTATCCTTTAACTACCCTTGGAAAGAGTTTCAGCCAGATCTATCACGGTATACTTTTCGTTACTCAAAACTTCTTGTATAACAGAGGTTACACTTTTCATTATGATCAGCTAGAAGCTAGACACAATGCCATTCCATTAAGCTTGACAGTGTAGTGCGAACATTTTGTGTCAGAGTCTTTTCGTAACCCATGTTCTTTTTTTGAAGTGCTGAGTTTTCAAATTCAATTCAAATTATGCCCACTTGTGGGAAGCTCAGTACCTTTCCCTAAACCGAGGTCATATCACAGTTAAGCACGACTTCTTCTGTTTAATGAGGACGCTTCGCACCTGGTTGATGATGTCTCGCACCTAGAGTGCGAGGCATGACTAAAGGTGTGCGTAGAAGAACCATTCGTACCTTCATGCCGACTTTCTCGTTCCCGCAAGGGTTCTCGTTTCCATGCGAGAGGGAGCCGCAAAATTAAGGAAAAAGCGAACTCCTAAGACTGCCATCGTTTGGGATTGCTTCACTTCTCTCGCTGGGCTCTGGGAGGATTCCGCTATCAAAACATCGACGAGGAATACGAACGGCTTGTGGCACATCTTCACGACTGCGCCAAGAAGTCAGAGAAAGTTCTAGGATTTCGAGCTGTTCCGCCAACGTGTAGCCACACGAGCCACAGACAACTACCGGCTTCGTCTGAGCCTGCAAAAATATACAGAGAAACCATAAAGGAAACTCAAGGAGAGAAGAGCAGCAGTACTAGTGCAGACCGCAGAGCATCCGCAACGACTTCGCCAACTGTATGAGCGGCTTCTGACGTCCGGACGGCACAATCACTGCGCCTGAAGGGCAATGGAGACTTTTATTCTAATCTCTCTGGCGCCTCCCTCTATACCGCTTGGAGCAGGATGGATATGTCGTTCCTGCAGTTCTCTCTTCCGAAGTCCGACACGCCATCTCGTCGGTGAAGAATCGTACGGCACCCGGTCCCGACAGGATCAGACCCAAGCACCGGAAGGATCCTCTGCAGTTTGCATGGGCACTAAGGTTTTAGCACCAGAGCTGAGCAGGAGAGCGAGCGACCTGGGAAGCTTTCAAAAATACAAAAAAAAGAACGAGGAAGACGGAGGACACCTAGCTTCGTGCCCATCTCTTCGATTCCGCGGTCCTTACCGTTTTAAATTACGCCTCGAAGACTTGAACTTTACGAAAACAAGATGCGCATACGGTTAGCGTACCTACATGCAAGTGAGGGAGTGAATCCGGAGCTCCGCACTCCGCCGACGATCGAAGATCAGAGACGCCGCCGCATTTGCCAAGGTTTCGAAGATCAGGTGGGCCGGGCACGTCATGCGTTTCGAGGACGACTGGACCAGAGCGATCACCGACTGGATTCCACGGGATGTCAAGCGAACGCCTGGACGACCGCCTATGCGATGGTCAGACTTCTTCGTGAAAGCTCTGAACGAATGGTATGAAGTTCATCGTGTCCCTCGAGCAGAGAGAGTCCATTGGGCAACTTGCACGTTGCAGGGACGAATGGAGACGTTACTGGCGCCCGCTCGAGGAACTCGATGATCAACGGGAGCACAGGTGATAAGGGAGGTGATCTACTGCAGCGTTATACGATTGTAGACCACCATTAGCGACCGCTGACAATGATCGGTGCTGTACTCACGTCCATAGAACTGTGTTCTAAATGAAATGATTCTCCTTGAGAACTTACACAAGCACAATAAGGGAAATCCTGTTCCATTCGTTGTACTGGCGCTGTACCACCGAAGTGACTTCTTATGTAATGCACACAGATGTTTCTTTGAGACGGCAGTGTACGTGAGAAAACCTATGCACTATGGCAACGAACGAAGACTTCACCGTCAACGTGTTGCCGCGTGGCAATTTCTATGACTGAAGTATGTGATGCAAGCAGACAAACAAGGAGACGAAATTGAATAGAAGTGGTGAGCTACTGAACTGAAAAGTATTGTATTCAAAATATGGTACATATTAGTAGGACTGTAACCTCCATGAATCCACTCATGCCTCATTTTTTTTGCACAGAGAGAAAAATTAAAGCTCAAAGGTTGGGAAAGAGCAATAAAGTATGTTTACGACAGAAGAAATTGGCACAATTTTATTAAGTTCGTACCAGCTTTCTAGGAGCCAAGTCTGTTTGCCACTGCTCTCTCATATTATAGTACTTCTTTTCATGTTCTTGCATAGTGTTGCGCTCCTTCTCCAGTAACTGTTTTCTCTTTTCGTTTTGCATTTCATCGAGTTCGTTCATCTGAAAAAGGTCTCAACGATCATCAAAAACTGTTCCGAGATGTGCCATTTCTGCATACTAGAACTAGCTTGTTCCAGCGAGGGGAAAACCAGTATCAGTGTGTTCGCTCCAGAAAATTACCGGATCGTGACAGGGAAGGATGGTAAGTCGAAGTAATGATAGGAGATGTGTGCCTACTGATGTATCTCTAGAATGCAATAACGAGCCCGTCTCCTATGCTTGCTATAGACAATTCTGAAAGGTGCATCGGAGGTTCTTCGGGAGGCAGCATAACCACATCCGAGACAAATTGAGCGTAAAACTGCTTAGAATGTAAGACAAATTCAATCAAATCACAATCGAATTGCAGACATGCACGTGCATTGAACTGCACGGAATGAGGCTAAGGACATTTCTGTTGAACTACGGTGCTACATTTGAAGCAGCCTTACGCCCAAAATTCGTATTGATTGTGGATATGCCCCACCGATGAAAATCTGTGAAACTTCGTTAGAGAGAAGTGCAGCAAATATTGAAGATTGATTCGCAATCGCAGCCTGAATACGCATCATTCGAATCTTAACAAAACACTTACTTCAAGCTAAGACCCTTTCAAGGTTAGTGGGTCGTAACAATTCTGGGTATACGATACAGGAGTACCATGCCGGCTATGATAAGACTGAGCGGTGAGGATCACACCGCTCCTTCTTTCTACACAGATTCCACAGTATTATCGAGATTGAGGAGAAAGGTAATTACCCATCCAAAATTTGTAGTTCATGCATAACACAAACAAGAACAGCCATCAATCAATTCTCAGAAAGAAACATTATTCCAAACAACTCTCTATGTTGACGATTCGTCTTTCAATACAGCAGTCAAGAGTTTACTGTCCGATTCTGTTGATAAAACTGAAAAGGGTTGATGTCCGAGACTAACAAGGGAGGTCGTTCAGGGCGTGGTGCGCTTTTCGAAAACGGTTTTTTGCATATTGTAGGGGCTCATGCAAGGACCTGAAAAGTGTGCTTCATTTTCGCTGCGCGCTTCCAGGAAAGGTAAAAAACGAGTGAAAAAATCTTTGGAATCTGCTTCGTTCTGGGCCTCTATGCGGCGTAGGTCACTTGCAACTTTGACCAGTTGCTGAGTGGTCGAAAAATCGCCGCGAATGACTTCCAACTTGGGTCACGTGCTCAAGGGTGAACGGCTTCTTGCAATGGTTTCTTCAACGATTAGAGCGTACGCAGCGGCAACGATCGGATGGCCTAGCGGAGAGTGGAGGATTCGCAATCGGACAGTGAGGGTGGGTTGATGGTTCGACTCCCCTTGAGTTGCGACTTTTTGCATTTTTTTGTTTCGCTGTTCTCGCCTTCCACTTGTGTCTGCACGGGAAACTCGGATATTTGCCATTTATTGTCACATTTTCAGTAGCCGTACCACGTGAGTCAGTGCTATTCATCTATCTCGATTTTCATACCATTGAACAAGATTGTTGATCTTAATGGGCAAGACAGTGGATCATGATCGCGAATATAGTAACTTCTGGTGTGGTGTCAATTATAGACAATTTGGGGCCACATCTTTCCACTGAATTCGTTATGTACACCAATATAGGGAACGTTCAGCGCTATTCTGTCGCCAAATTGCGTGGACGCCAAGAACATGTGTCATATTAGGTTGGCCGATAAGTAATGGCCGTTTTTTTCAATTGAAAAATTTGTTCCAAAAGTGAACTGTTTTGCAAGCAAGCTTAATATCGTTTAATAGCAAACTTCTCGTAGTATTAGAATATCAAAACAGCTTCGGTTGAGGGAAGAGTTTTTGTGGATTTTTCAGTCGTTGAAGTTGAAAGTGAAGTCGGCGAAAATTAGCACTTCGACAACTGCCTCTATTTACGTCTACTCGAAGTGCTAAAATCGCTTAAGCTGCTCCATACATTCGGAAAAGGTTGAGGTAGAAGTCTCAGCAAGGGAATCTCAATAGGACGCTTTGGAACTAATTTCAAGAATTTCAAAGTTGGCAACCTTCACCTTGCCAATATTGGGCAGGCTCACGTCTGTTCCACCTGAAATTTCATGCTAATAGTTGAATTAATTGAATTTGAATTTGATATTCTAATACTACGAGAAGTTTGCTATTAAACGATATTAAGCTTGCTTGCAAAACGTTTTCACTTTTTCTTATTTTGGGAGTGGATAAACAAATTTTTCAATGGAAAAACTGGCCATATACTTATTAGCTAGAACAATGGTAAAGGGCTGCTGCTATATTAGGGCTTGTCGCATTAGTTCTTATATACGACTTTTACGTGATATAGTGTCTTCAAAAAGGACCAGCTCGGAGCTATTTAGAGTATGCACCATACCATTCCTGCTCGACGCCAGCGCTCAGCAGCTTGTCGGTTCAATCCTATCCAGAACTGACGGAGAGCTTGCGGACTGAAGATGTTTCGATCTGAGCGCCCTATTATGCGACTGGTCCTTTGTTCTCGACTTTTTTTCCGTCACAGGCATTAGCGAATTGCAGAGTGGCTGACAGCATAATCAGTCAGAAGGCACGCGAGGTCAGGGCATTGTACTGGAGGTCGAGAGGCGACATCAGCATCCGATTCTCCAGCTCTGCCTGGTCGCTATTGCAGGTGTGAAGTCGGGCCTAGTTGTCAATGGTGAATAAGATCTTCGCATTCTTCACTGTAGTACGGTCGATCCTGATCTGTTCAAATTTCTGCAGTCCTGGTCACGTGGGAACCGTGACAGTGACGGAATTGAAAAAAAATTGTCCTTCTCAGCAGCCCTCAAGTAAATGCCATGCGTATTTATGAGACACAACAGGACAGGCTCAGAACGTTGTTTGTGTGGTGAAGGTTCGGCCTTTGGGTGGCCTTTCTGTAGCCTGTTCTCCTTTTGCTCGAGACCCCGAGCTGCCGCTTCCTCACAGAGTTTCGTTAGAGGACACTTTTCATCTCCAATGTTGTCATCGCTGTTGAGAATGTGAGGTCTTTGTGAAGTGAAGGAGAGAAGTGTTAGCGTGGTACCTCTCCTCGAGAGGTCCATAATGCGGACAGTCATGTGGATCCATCGAGCAGCTTTGCTATCTTGCGAGCTTCTAGTCCACGTGACAACCGTTCGAATGATCATGCCTAAGCTGATGGTTACGCATTGCTCTTAAGTGGTTTGAGGTAACGCGGATCCTCCTCCCGTGAACGTTGAGTACTTCCAAACTCCAACTCATCTGAATGCGACCTAGCTCGAACATATTCGAGAGCAAAAATCCCTTTCTTTAATTGTTCGAAACCAATTCTTGATAGTCATTTATGAGATTGCGTCTCACGGTATGTATTCCCCAGTTTTGGTTATGGGGTTCTTGAATTTCAGCCGAAATCGTGGAAGCAAAACTCCAAACAGTTGGCGCAGGTGTTCGTTTGTGGTCACAAGTGCAAAATTGTGCGACTGTGTACATGCAGTATGGCAAGTCGCGTGTTATAGCTAGTGTAATGAAATGAGTTACAATGTACAGTCACGCCAACTGATTAAACGTAATGCCAACATCCATTGTGCGATTACGAAATAGGAGTAGAGATTCAAAACACGGTGCTATAAGAACTTATGCACATATGAATAAGTGCTAGTCGAGTCCCTGGACCTAATAGTAATGGCATTTTCAATCGAAAAATTTGTTCCAAAAGTGAAAACTGTTTTGCAAGCAAGCTTAATATCGTTCAATAGCAAACTTCTCGTAGTATTAGAATATCAAATTCAAATTCAATTAATTCAACTATTAGTCATGAAATTTCTAATAGTTCAGGCAGTTTCGAAAGCGTGTATTTCTTTCGACTTCACTTTCAACTTCAACGCGACTGAAGATATCTACAACACTTTTCCCTCGAACGAAAGCTTTTTAATTGTTCTATAGTACTACGAAAAGTTTGCTGTCAAAACAGATATTACTTGCCTTGCATAAACAGTTCCTTTTTGGACAATTGAAAAAACGTACTTAATATGTCATATGCAAACTAATATTTGTGCATAAGGGCCACTGTTACCCCAACATAATCATTTTCGAATCAAAACGAATTGTTTTGACCTTTGGCTTGCGTACTGGTGTTGTTAGAGGTGGTCGGTCTCAATACTGTCATGGTGGATTGTGCAGACATTGTTGGGGGCATTACGGCAGTTACTGATTAGAAGTAGGGCGGTAGCCTCGCCCGATGTATCGCCTGGCATGTTAGCTGCGGGTAAATGTGACACAGTTAAGTGCCTGTAAGTGCTAGCTGACTTGCTGACCTTCCTAGCAGAGCCTTTCAAAGACGTGAGAGATAACGCGATGCAAATTCATTCCTACCTAGTGAGAACTATTTTACAAGAGCATGACACTTTAACACGATGAACGATTACATGAAAGCAGGGCAAAAAACTTGCCTACAGCTACACCCCATAGCATTTCCAGCGTACGTACTACACTGGTGGATTGTTCCGTCTCGACTTCCTGTCGACTCTACTGTGGATGGTTTCTTAACGCTGGCTCGGCACCAACGAAACGGTTTTTCAAACAACGTCAGTGGCAATCACGCCTACATCTGCACTCGTTTCACCGTCAACCATGAGATACTCACTACTTCACTTCACCTCAGAGCACTTTTTTCCCCCCTGTTTTCAGGTTACGAACCTTCCAGGGTCGTGTTACTACACTGCAACCCCCGTTCCAGCTCCTCCACCTCTCTCCCCTATTCACTGCCAACAATCCTTAGCTTGTTCCCCATCTCCCCCACCTCTCTCCCCTATTCAGCGCCAACAATCCACACCTTCCTCCCCAGCTCCTCCCCTTCTCTCCCCTATTCAGCTCGGTATCCTCATAGGAGTACACCATCCTCCGTTGAGTTGCCTCATCGAAGGTCTTCGAAAACTCAATTGTGAAGCTGTTAATAATAACGATAATTATAATAATATTAAGACGTAATAAAGTGTTTCATTTAATCGTTCAACTCGATATTGTATTCGCATTAGAGCCGCTGAGGTCAGCAGTCGCCTCATGCAACTTAATGAGGTCACACCCCAGGCGAGACAGCAGTCGCCGCATGCAACTTAATGAGGTCACACCCCAGGCGATAATTAAAAGGGCGAGATAGGCTCCGCCCTATTCTACAGTAAACTTACCGTATACCCGCCCAACAATATCTGCATACCCATACGTCATCGCTGTTACGAAGATGTGAGACTCCGCTCACACTGCCGACCAAATGGTCGGTCACCTACAACCCGAAAAAGTCAAAAAATTTTTTGCTCAAAACTTGCTCCTAGGGGTAATCGACAGTCCTGATCACGATTCTAGACTTTATTTTGGCCCAGTGCCATCTGGCACCAGCATAGCGCCGAAGAGCTGAGTCTGTGCATACTAACGAATTCGAACGAAAAAGCAGTTTTGCTCCATAAAAGTAGGATTGTTCAGTTTATCGTGAATGTTTTTGTTAGGACCAAATATTTAGACATGGACCCAAAAAATGAAAAATTGTAGAAAAGCAAAATTTTGTCCTCGGTGGGATCCGAACCATCGACCTATTTTTTACGTTTTTTTTTCCTAGAAGCGCGCAGCGAAAATGAACCTCAGTTTTCTGGTCCTCGTATGTGCCCCTACAATATGCACAAGACCATTTTGAAAAAGCTCACCACGCCCTGAACGACCTCCCTTGTAAGACCAGTGCTTCATTCCGCTGGTAACACTGGCAACAGCTACATGGCCGTCATTTCATGGGTGTATATCGGATGGTGCGCCGCGGCCGTACTTGCCATACGTAGCAGGCCTTCGCATACCGCATTTTGCTCTGGTCGACTCCTCCGCATCAATCTCTTGACTGACGTGAGTGCTCGCGTTGCGTATCGGTGGCCTAGTTAATCAGCCTTCTGTTTCTAACCAGGCAAGGTCAACAGGTCAGCCCGGCCATTTCCAATGGGTGCACACCGTTGTACGCGTCTTCAGACGGTGAACTCAAATCTGTCTTCAGAATTTGCGGAACGATTCTCTGAGCGGAGTTATGGAGGGATTTATCCCCTCGTGGTTCTTTCACATGGTATCGCGAGGAAACGTGGAAGCGTCTTTACATTAATGTATGGGCTCACTTGGAACGTGAGAGTAGAGCGCAACGGATAGCGAGCGGGTTTCCTAGGCAAGACGTCGTGGGATCGGATCCCGGCAGGTGGTTTTTTTGCATTTGTCCAAGAACATAGGCCGACAAAGCTTCTAACATCTCTGCTCGCCTGCACTACCTTGTAAGGGAACCTGCGATCAGTTTTTCACGAAAGTGTAGACTCCATTGTGGCCTGAAAGAGTGTTTTGCTTGTACCCCTCGTAACACGTGTCACAAGGGTTTTTGCAATGAAATACCATCATATTCATGTTCAGCGGGTCAAATTACCCCTGGGGACAAGTTTCTAGCCGAATCTGATATTTCGACCTCACTTGGAAAATGTGGGCTATTCCATGGGTAATTAGCAGCAGATTGGAGCTCACCTGCCATCGATGACTGGTTTCGGGATGGAATTTCCTCCTAGTAATCAGGAAAATGATGTAGACGGCACGAATGAGTAAGCCAGGTATTGCTTCTTTGCGGAAGGACAGATTGAAGAGTTATTTCAGCTCGAAGTTAGTCATCACCAGTATGCTAGTCGTAGTATCGCTGTTGGCTATCAGTCAGCCATGACTATCCATACCCCATTTTTTCGAAGTTGAGTCAGAACCTCAGATTTCGCTAAGGTGACGTCTCCTAGGGGTTATTTGACCCCCTGAACACGAATATGATACCTATTTTGCGCGAAGAGCGCTGTGAGTCGCGCTACAGGTGCCAACGCTTCGGCGCCAGCGCGCCCGGAAGAAGAAAAACAGTAAAGAAAACCTCCATAACTCCGCTCAGAGAATCGTTCCGCAAATTTTGAAGACAGTTCTGAGTTCGCCGTCTCAAGGCGAGTACAGTGATGTACACCTCACTGGAAATGGCCCGGTTTACCTGCTGACCTTTCCTGGTAAGCACTTTGTCGTCTTTTTTCGCACTCATTTCTCTATTTAAATGCTGTTTAGCTACCTAGAAGTAGCCCTGTCATGAACATTTTTGAGTTGTGATATCAACTTCCAAGAAGCTTGCAGTGTATAAAGTAGCCCCCTGCATGGTGAGTCTATCCCATTTGCTTTATTTCAGCATGCTCCAAATCAGACATGTTAGCTTTATCACACTTTGTTACAGTTTTTGCGTTCCCGGTTCGACATCCTGTAGTCTCGACTCTTACTTTTAAAGGCAGCGTCCGCGATCAACCAAAGTGAAAAAACCCTCCATTGAAAACGAACGCGGAGTCCGCAATCACAGCAGAAATCCCACTCTTGCGGCTCGAAATCGATTGGTTGACGAGGGCGGAGTCAACAGAGCCGGGCTGACGCCTCCTGTCCTGTTAATCCCGCCCCGACTGGTTGACAGTTATCAATGCTTGCTGGCATTGATATACGCTGAATTTCTAGAGTTCCGAGGCGGCGACGTGTATTGGAGAACTCACCAGAAGTTTGCGAAACTCGTCCACATGCCTTAAATTTCATAGGGTCTTATTTCACGCTCTTCCACACCTTTTTCCTGCTTTTTTTGATTAGTGCTTCATTGGCCACCTGTTCTAGCAAATGTGACCCCTGAAACCTGCCAAAGTCCATCGCGGGCGCTGTCTTTAACTCGTTGCAAGTCAGCCATTCGAATCAATCAGTCAGTCTAATCAGTCTCATGCTGGTCATGTACATTCGTTTTCTTTTCTGGCCAGAGAATTGCACAGAATAAGCGGAAAAATGGTATGAACATGCGCGCAATATGGGAGGAGTGAGAAAGTTGTTGCTGCCAGAGATCCGAGCGTTCAGTGTCATACTTTACACAACAGGAAAATGAATATGCATAGAGGGAGACTGTTGTCAAGGACCGATTGACAGCCAAAATATTGGAAGTCCTAAGGACTCTGAAGGCTCTGGGCCTTCTGTTCCTCAGATGGTTTGGCTTATCCTCGAATTGTCACTGTATTACCCAGTACACCACTGCCTTGAGATTTCATGTCTCTCTCGGACATAACAAATGAGAAATGGGTACATAGCGCCATCTTCTTCCTTTCTGGCTATAAAATGTGGAATACCAGTCTTTAATAATTCCAACTCACAAAAAATATGAGACTGATTAGCGAGGGGTCATCGGCAGAGAAGCGCGAGGCATACGTAATGGGCGGAGCGTGCGTCGAGGTGGGCGGGGCCGGTCTTGAGAATTCTTCAAGCGGTTCCAGAGCACTCCAGGCCTCCTCTGTGATACGGCCCGGCCTTTGCGGGGCGTGGTCCATCGCGCCTACCTGCATTCGTATGATCAAATGCTCGACTAATACCCGGCTTTTCTCTCATCTGTCCACTTGATCAACGCTCCTTACCACCATTCCATACACCGTAATAGTGTTGAAAATAGCAGGTATGATGTGGAATATGAACATGCTATTGGTCAAAGAATGTTGACCATCTGTTCAAATAAAGGAAAAGCCGGATATAGGTGGGTATTGAAATGTGTGGGAGAAGATAAGTGCGGCGGAGCGCCCGCTCAGCGAAGCCGTTCTGTATCTTAGGAAGGAAGCGCGCCGGCGTCAGCGGGCGAAGTCGGCTGGTCTCAAATAATTCATTAGCGGCCATCTTCTGGGTAAAAAATACGGTTTTCGAAAGCACCTTAAAAATGACGCATCTGCGTTTCTCGGAACGCGACCAAAAAGTTCTGGAAGCGAGGAAATCACTCTTTGCTTGGTTGTTGGCATTAGTTGTCGATAAAGACGGTACGCATATTGTCGATCGATATTGCACGATCGATAACGAAGTAGATTAGCGCGAAAAAAAGTCCGGAGACGTGACGACTTTTGGGACACCTTGATATACAGTAAGGAATGACTGACAGCACTATAACCAGCGTTGTCCTGGAAGTATCTCACGAAAATATTCTTGAGATAGATCTACAAATGGATAGTAATCGATACTGCTTCGGAAAATCTGCGTTTCAATATAAGGGAACCTTTTTTCGGCTGAGACGCTATAATTGAGATCTCAAACCACTCAACAGATATGTACTTGAACTTCACTGTATTGAGTGAGATAAAGACAAAAAGATAAAGAGACAACAAATTTACCGCCAATTGATGCTTTTGCTTCAGGTGAGCAATTTTCCTGGCGCTTTTCAAGTCATGTTCTCCAATAGCGTTTCTGATTCGCACATTTTCCTGCTCATCGAAGCGTCTGAGCTTTTCGCTCATTTCACTCGGTGTCATTGACTGAAAACTAGCAGAGATGAACTTCAGCAGAACTGAAAAAGAACTAGTAAGAAGGCGAAAAAATCGCAACTCTTCAGTGGATCATTATCATTTCCTTCGAACGAGCACGTGATTTCGTTCTTTGCAGTTAAATTATGTTAGGGAGAAACCAACGAAAATTCTTGGAGTAAGGGCCTCAACCCAATAAGACACCTATGGGATCTCTGGAGCGTCGGTCAGCAAGATCAAGTCTACCATCGAAGATGAGCATTAGTAAACTCACGCATGGTCCAAGAAAAGTGAATAGCATTCCACCCTGAAGCACCCTTCTAAGCTTTGTGGAGTCAATGACACAAATAATAAAGGCTATCATTAACTCTTGTGGCTACCCAATCCTACCATCCGTAATTCGCTAAGTATGTCTGTCAGTGTGTGTGTGTGTGTGTGTGTGCGTCCGTCTGTCTGTCACGAAATTCATAGCACCCGTCGCAGTAAGCGTGGAACGTTGGTTCCAAGAAGTGATATAGGGGGTGGGACGGGAACAATTGGCGGGTGACAGAAAGTGATAACAGTTGATAAGATACGATAAGCGGCCTCGGAAGGGACGGTCATCAAATTCGCAACGCAGTTTACAGCAACAATGGAACATTGCAAAGAAATGATGTAGGGGATGGAACGGGAACATTGTTGGTGGGTGACAGAAAGTGATAACAGCCGATAAAATACAATAAGGGGCCGCAGAAGAGGAAGGCCACTAAATTCGTAAGCAGGTTACAGCAACAGTAGGATCTTAGGTCTCGAGAACTGATATAGGGTGTGGGAAGGGAACATTATTGGCGGGTGACAGGAAGTGATAGCAAGATAGGATCCAAAGTGACAAGTTACCATGGGATAATCCGGTAAATCGCTCACAAGGACAATGCGATTGATATGACCCAAGTATCACGATCTCAATGTTTCAACACAACTCATTCCTAAGCACTTATCAGTAACGACATCATGTACGACCGCTAAGCTAGCTCTATTCCAAATGCATGGTTTGTTTACAGAGATGTTATGAACAGCAGCAAGTGACTCAATCACTCCTACCACAATTATTAGGTCATCCCATTCAAAAGTGCCGATGATTTTCTTTATTTGAATGCATTTCGGGAACACCATTACACACAACTACTGGTCCGGCGCAGGTCAAATTTGAGCAGCGCACTTTCCTCTTATGACGTCTGATTTGAAAATCCGGCGCTGATTTTCACCACTCGGGCTTCTTTTCAATTTCTCGAGAACTTCTTCTGTGGGTAGGTTCGCCAAATTTCACAGATACATAGCTAAAGGTACTAGCTTCCAAATGGTATAGTAGCCCGCTGCCCTATCCCCTTTGCTTTTCTGCCATTCCTCTATATGTCTCGGCACTTTTGAATGGGATGACCTAATAATTTTCGACCAGCAACCTTAGTTTTTGAGAGTGGAGAATGCATGAAGCAGTATGATGCTTCAGCGGCTAATCTTACAGGCTGCTATATTCCCGTGTAGGTTATGAACGTACCAGTCGGATCGCTGGCTAAGGCCGGCTCCGCCTCCTTCTGTGATGCGGCGGGCGCTGCTGCTGCTTCTGCGTCTTGACAGGGAGGGCGCTGCTTTTCAGTCTTGGCTGATGCAGATCCTTTTGAACAACCTGCTTGGACAACGATCCATAATCTAGCACGCGGCAAATCCGGCCGGCGAAGTACGGCCTTGACACAGAAGGAGGAGCGCCCAGCGACAGCTGGACAATCAGAAACAATGAGTGTGGAACTGTCGCTGTTTGTTGCGTTTCTGTTTAAAACTTGAGTTGTTTTCAGTTCAAGGCTGAAGAAACGCGTAAGATTTGTGGTTTGACCTGAGTTTTCTATGGGTTCTGTATGTGATAGCAATCGTGAGGTATGTTGCGGACAAAATTATCACAGCGGAAGACGTTGCATACTTGCATACTAATTCGGAGGCTCTCTTTGAACATATGGCTTCGAGTTTTCGCTTCATTTCGCAACATCTTCGGAAGCTTCTTCCTATCCAGGGCAAGTGCACGAACAAGCTCCTCCTCCTCTTCCTGAAATTGAATTGAGGTAATGAGATGGCATAAAATGTTTCGCTGATGGAAAAATGATGGACTGGAAAGTCAATAAAACGTTGAGTTTAATTTAGCGGCATAGTCGTGGACTGAAACCACGCGTTTGACGTGACGACGTGGCGAAAACTCAAGAATACTTCTAATGGTGGTCATAAGCAAACAATCGCAGAGTTGACGAGAACACGCAAAGGGTACCTGGTTGAACTTCAGAGCTTGTGCCAACTCTTTCTGATGTCTTGCAAGCATCTGTGTGCGGAGCAGAAAATACTCATCTTTGAACAATTTTCGATGCAACACAAACCTAAGAAAGGACGAGTTTCTCACAGAATTCTGTGAACACGAGTGCGTTCATAGTTTGTGTAAGCGTCCTGGACGTTTGGAGCGTACATCAGCGTACACTAGCGTACGCCACCACTTTAAGCGTTGAGGAAATAATAGTCATGGGTTCAGCGTTTCGAGCGTATGCCAGCATACCCTAGAGTGCGCCACCGCTTTCAGCGACTAGAAAAGAATGCATATTTCTCCGGCGTTTGAGCATTTGGCAAGATTCTGAGCAGCGTACGCTCAAAATGCTGCTACCTACACTTTCCTAGTCAGTGAAAACGCTAGATCGATACCTATGCTTCCGCAGTCGCTCAAAAGGGTCAAAACGCTGACGTACGCTCAGAACGCTCAAATGCTGACGCAAGGTATAAACGCACTCTAAAAGGAAAACTTGAACAAAGAAGAATCGTACACCCACTTCTCTCCCATTTGCTTTTCTTCCAACTCCCAGTCACTGTTCTCCTTAGCTCTCAATAATACATGTTTTTGCATTAGGAACTGACGTTCAAGAGCAGCCATTTTCTCCTTGAATATTCAACGTCAGCTTCGATGGCAGTTAAGAAACTACAGAAAGTAACCTTGTGCTTCTGCGTCAGTCGAGCTAGCGTGGCCCCGGCGTTCTTTCGAAGCTGCATCATGAAATCAGCTTCCTTGAATGGAACAAAATGAAAGCTCGAGCCCTACTTCGCACTTACCAGAGGTCGTTCAGGACGTGGGCGCTTTTTGAAAACGGTTTTTTGCATGATGTGGGGTCACGAGCCTAGGAGTACCAAACTGACGTTCATTTTTTCTGAACGCCTCTGGGAATACCAAAAAAGGAGTGAAAAAGATGTCTGTATAAACCGATCGTTTTTGAGCCTCTATGGGCTCTAAATCACTTGCAACTTTGACCAGTCGCTGAGTGGAGGGTCCTTATAAAGGTACTATAGGAATCGAGGAGGAAAGTAGTCGCAAATGGGGTCTTACTTGAGGCACGTGATTGAGAGTGAGCGGCTCTGAGCGGCTCGTCGGAATGGTTTCTTCAACGATCGGAGCGGTGTTCAGCTACAACGATCGGATGGCCTAGTGGATAGCGTGGAGGATTCTCAATCGGACAGTGAGGGTGGGGTTGATGGTTCGACTCCCCTCGGCTTGCGCGTTTTTGCATTTTTTATTTTCCGTTGTTGTCGCTTCCATATATGTCTGTTTAATGAATTTTACTCGGATATCTGCCATTTATAGGCACATCCTAAATAGTTATACCCCGTAGTCGGTGCTATTCAGCAATTTCGATTTCACATACCATTAAGCAAGAACTTGTCTGAAAGTTGAGCTTTATGTTATTCGGTGCCCTGATCACGACTATGGCATTTACTTTCAGCTCTAGTGCCATTTATCCCCAATTTGGAGCCACGTCTTTCTCCCACTGGAGTCGCTATGTACACAAGGGACTTTCAGGGCCATTCTGACGCCAGATTGCGTTGACGTCAAGAATAAGTGTCAGAATCGTGATCAGGACCATCGATTACCCCTATAGGCAAACTTTCAGCCAAAAAAATTTTTTTGACTTTCTTAGGTTGTGTATTGGGTTATGCTCTCACTCTGTTGAAGTCGTACTTTTCCAGGTTACCGGAGCCCCATTCATTGGTACGGAGACATAAAACTAACAACAACGATAAACTCATCAAAAGAAAAAAAAAACGAAACGGTTATCATTCTTCCAGGTGCATTTGAAAAAGTGAAGGAAATCGGATGAGTCTCTTGGAAGGGAGGACGACATCTTCGTTGAGCAAGCAGTCGCTAGGGGTCGACAAATGTCCAGGATGGTTTTTCACTTGTTCTGCGGCCACCCATGCCCATGCCAAGTATGAATGGACCTTATGAGCACCAATCCGCGATACGGCTGCCCGGCGGCCCACCACGTCATCGTTACGTCATCACCGCTCCAAAGGTGTGAGACTCCGGTCATCATTGCCGACCAAATGGTCTATCACAACTCAAGAAAGTCAAAAAAATTTTTTTGGCTGAAAGTTGCCTATAGGGGTAATCGATGGTCCTGATCACGATTCTGACACTTATTCTTGACGTCAACCCAATCTGGCGCCAGAATGGCCCTGCAAGTCCCTCAATGTACATAGCGACTCCAGTGGGAGAAAGACGTGGCTCCAAATTGGAGATAAATGGCACTAGAGCTGAAAGTAAATGCCATAGTCGTGATCAGGGCATCGAATAACATAAGCTCAACCAGACAAGTTCTTGCTTAATGGTATGTGAAATCGAAATTGCTGAATAGCACCGACTACGGGGTATAACTATTTAGAATGTGCCTATAAATGGCAGATATCCGAGTAAAATTCATAAACAGACATATACGGAAGCAACGGAAAATAAAAAATGCAAAAACGCGCAAGCCGAGGGGAGTCGAACCATCAACCCCACCCCACTGTCCGATTGAGAATCCTCCACGCTATCCACTAGGCCATCCGATCGTTGTAGCTGAACACCGCTTCGATCGTTGAAGAAACGATTCCGACAAGCCGCTCAGAGCCGCTCATTCTCAATCACGTGCCTCAAGTAAGACCCCATTTAGGACTACTTTCCTCCTCGATTCCTATAGTACCTTTATAAGGACCCTCCATTCAGCGACTGGTCAAAGTTGCAAGTGATTTAGAGCCCTAGAGGCTCAAAAACGATCGGTTTATACAGACATCTTTTTCACTCCTTTTTTGGTATTCCCAGAGGCGTTCAGGAAAAATGAACGTCAGTTTGGTACTCTAGGCTCGTGACCCCACATCATGCAAAAAACCGTTTTCAAAAAGCGCACCAAGTCCTGAACGACCTTCCTGGTTAGAAGAACTGCACTGTACCCTTAGTTGATTCTCGTGTCCCATCTGATCCTTCTTCAATCTGAGGGCATCCTTTCTTTCATGACGAGGTAGCATATCTATTTCCTGCTTCAATATTTTCATTTCCTGCTTGAGACGTTCTTTGAAGGCGCGCAAGTCTTTTTCCTGAAGGAAATGACGAGTTTTTAGTTTGAAGTGAAGATAATCACTCACGCATTCTACTTTGCTTTCATTAGGGGAGTGACGTGAGTTAGAGGATTTCGATCACGGGAGGTCAAGTGGAGGAGTGACGAACGAGAAGATTGGGCTATTCGTCAGAAAGGTCAAGATGAAGAAGAAGCTGTAAATATCCTACTATTAGGTCCGGAAAGTTCTCAGCGTTCTTGTGCTTACCATTTTTGTACATTCATTGCTGATTAAAACTCATTCTCCCTTGCGTCTCAGTAGTACATCCTGAAGAGAATTTTTTGCGCTATCTGATGGTATAATTGCCGTTTCACCATTGCTTGATAAACCCCTTTTCCCAAGACTTTTTGAAGCATGTCAAAAGAGCAACTTCGGACGATATTTTTCTTCAACTACAAATTGGGTCAATCCGCAGTCGAGACAGCTCGACAAATTAACCAGGTGTGGGGGCCCAATAGTGTTGGAGAAAGCACCGTGCGACAATGGTTCGACAAATTTCGTTCTGGAGATTTCAGCCTTGAAGATGAACCTCGTAGCGGTCGACCTAAAGCAATACCTGACGAGGATTTGAAGGCGTTTGTGGAGGCTGACCCATCCCAAACAGTTCGAGAGATTGCAGAAAAGCTAGGCGTTGGCAAATCCACTGTTGCAGATGGTCTGAAACGCATTGGGAAGGTGAAAAACTCGACAAGTGGGTGCCCCACAATTTGAGTGACCGGCAGAAATTGGCACGTCTCGAGGTTTCTTCTTCACTGCTTTTGCGCAACAGAAACGACCCGTTTTTGGACCGAATTGTCACCTGTGATGAAAAGTGGATCATGTATGATAACAGGAGACGTTCCGGACAGTGGTTGGATGCCGACGAACCACCGAGGCAATTTCCAAAGCCGAATCCTCACGAAAATTATGGTCACAGTGTGGTGGTCATCGGCTGGTGTGATCCACTATAACTTTTGTCACCAGCCAAACCATCACAGCAGAATCCTACTGAAGAAATCGACGAAATGTACCGAAAATTGCGTCAGCTGCAGCCAGCACTTGTCAACAGAAAGGGTCCGATTCTTTTGCATGACAACGCCCGCCCACACGTTTCACAAATCACTATCCATAAATTGAACGAATTGGGGGTTGAAGTTCTACCTCACCCGCCATATTCTCCAGACCTTTCACCAACCGACTATCACCTTTTCAAACATTTTCAGAACTTCCTTGCTGGAAAATACTTCATCAACCAGGACAAGGCAAAAAAGCCTTCCTGGACTTCGTGGATTCTCGACCACCCAGTTTCTCCTTGATGGGATTTCTCGACTGGTGTCACATTGGCAAAAGTGTGCTGATTCGAACGGTGCTTATTTCGATTAAATCCGATGAGTATTAAGAAAGTTACGATCGTTTAAAGTGAAACACTCAAAACGCTGAGAACTTTCCGGACAACCTAGTAGTAGTAAGTACATCAATTATAAAAATGGATAAGAGCAATGGAAATGGATAAGAAATGGAAGAGAAACAAATAAGACATATTCGGATTGAGGCCTCTTTCTATAGTGAGACGTATTAGATTAAAAGTATACTGTACTGTTATCGCGGTGTGCTTACCAGCTTTTACAGTCGTCATCCTTGCACTTGATAGTCAATGTCAGTGCGGCTGCGTGCGGCGCGGTCGCCCGCACCCGTACTGCACCAATCGTTGAACCAGGAAGTGACATTACTGTATTATATCCTTCGTGTTACTCGTTTTCTATCACTTTTTGTCGCATACGCGTTTCAACGAAAAGGCTGAGAAGGCTTCAAACAGTGTGCACGCTCCTTCTCGCCGACACGCCCCTATCAAGTGCAAGGATGACGACTGTAACTACCTTATGGGCACCATCGCTTCAAAATGCAGGGTGGTGCGACGCAAAGTTAAATATCATCTCGATTCTAACCTAGGTTTGAGCCGTGAAGCTTTTCTCGTCTATGTGAGCGGCCAGTCGGAAGACAACTATCAGTTGGAAGAAACTTTTTCGAAGAGTGAGGGCTGCACTGTCATCTTGGAGGCAGACTGTGTGGACAAATCTTCCTTCTGATCGACAATTCGCATCACTCCCAGCCTCTGCGTAGTGCTTTGCCGTTGTTGCAACGACGTCATACAGTAGCTTCACCAACTCCCTCAAGCTGACTTCACATGGACATGCAGATCTCATTCCGTCTCCATAAGGGTAAGCTCCCACTTTGAAGCATTGGTTTCGTGAAAGATTGTCCGATGATGGGGACATCGTCCCGATGATTGGGACATCGTCCCTCTGTAGCTCCTTTATTTATACTTCGGCAATAAGGATACAAGTGAGTGGTACTAATTGGAACAGCATAACAAGGTATAACTGTTCACATTATCTATCACACCTCCTCAGATTGTGGGCAGGTATTTTGAATAAAAACTATGACAGAACTTCCCCACCAGCCTAATATTACAGGCAGGGAGCTCAGAGCTCAGTGTCAACTGCGGTAGAGGTGCGCAATATGTCTGCCAATAGACATGTTGAAAAAATCAACAGAAAAAAAATCGGGAAAAGTCGACAACTTTTGTAGAAGAGAAGTACACCCCTTGCTGTTTTTCAAACAAGCATGATGCGCTAGGTTGGTCG